AGTCCCCAGTCAGTACCAACTAATTTCCCAGTTAAGACCAACAAATCCGCAGTAGGGGTCCACAAGTCCCCAGTTTGTACCAACAAGTCCTCAGTTAGCACCAACAAGACTCCAAGTTGAATACAGGACTATTAAGTCTTTAGTCTGGACCACCTATTCCCAAATCTAGACCAACAAGTCCCACGTCTGCATCAACAAGCCCCCAAGTCCAAGTCAGGACCATCAAGTCCCCATGTTGATGTCTACAAATCCGATGTAAGGACCAGCAAGTCAGGACCAAGTCTGGATTGACAAGTCCTACATCTGGATCAACAAACCCCCAAGTTTAAGTCAAGACCACCAAGTCCCAAGTCAACGTCATCAAGTCAGAATAGCAGTTTAAGTTTAATCAGCAGCTGTACAGTTCAGACAGGAAACACAAACGCAGCATCCATATTCAAAATGAAACTTTATTAAGCGAACAGGAATGTCCAGGTGACGCTGCACACGGTGCAGACACACCTGTCGGCTCCTCCAAACCTTCTGATTCAAAAGACCTTCATGTCACTTCTGTCAGGTGTCCTCGGATGAGGACGGACAGTTTTAGTTTGGTCTAAACACTGGAACAGTCGACAGGAGCAGGTTGGACTGTGACCCCCCATCCTGCTCCCGCTGCACTGATAAGGTGTACTCGGTGGGGGCGGGGCTAAAGCTCAGGTAAACACAGAAAGGCACAGGGTGGAATGACATGAGGCTTGTTTATGGACAGAAAACCCGTGAGAAGGTCAGCGGGCGGCGACATGTTCAATCAATACAGATAACTTGAATACAGGCTGTTGTCTGGGGGCGGGGTTACTTTGTGGGCGGGGCTTGTTTGGTCATTTGTGCGACGGGGTTCAGAGTTCAGGAATGTTTCGTTGCATCACGACGGGGCGGGAACACGACAGTCTGCCGACGTCGGCGTTCGCAGCTCCTCCGGCTTCGGCGTGTTTGGCGTGGCCCCGCCCCCTGCTGGTGACATCACTCTACATGCCCATCCTGATGCTCTGGATGATCTGGAAGATGGCTGCCGACGCCACAGAAACAAAACAGGGAGTCAGAGAGACGGTAAAGGAAACACAAAGAACATCCTCAAACTTCATTTGATTGTGGATTATTTACAAATTATTTTCCTTTTTAACTTTTCAAATTTTTCTTCCTACTTTGAAATCTAAAGTCTTCAGCGTATTTTGTTGCTTCTTTTAATCTAAAATGTGCCTCATAAAAAAGGTTTAATTATTTTAATTGGCGCTGACAAAATTTCTTACTTCATTACTTTTCTGTAAACTAACAAACCGATGGTTGCAGCTTTGATCTAAACATTTCAGACACAGTGTTGAAGTTAAAAAGCTGCAGCCGGTTGGAGAGTCGCAGACATCAGCTCAGACTGTTGGACTTTCTGCTCCTCAGATAAACCTGTTTGAACACCTGATCCAGGTGTTTCATATCGATCAGTTCCTGACAGGTTGCACTGACACGAGGGCTGAGTGACATTTACGCTGAAGGACAGGCCCCGCCCACTTACAGTGACATCACAGGGGGCGTGGCTACATTCAGGTGATGCAACATTTATATCAAACTACTTACTTTCTTTTTCATTTTTGCCTTTTATACATTCACATTATTAATATTATTTATTTGTTTGTTGATTTTTTTTGTCTGGTAATATTATTATTATTATTTTAAATGATATTTAATTTTGTACTATTTTCCTTTGTTATTTTTAAAATCCATTTTTAATATTTTTATTTCATTTTATTCATCCATGTTTTTGCTCAATTTATGAATGAGCTGTTTTGTTTTTTTTTTCGTTTCAATTTGATTTAAATCAGAAACTGCATTGAAATACATGAAACATCTGTCAAATATATAAAAACTGTCTTTATTTAAAAAAAAACCAAAAAAAACAACAGATATGTGAATATTTAAAAGTGAAAACTTCAAAAAGAAAATGAAAATTATTAAAATGTTCTCAAAAGACACAAATCATCAAAATACTCCTAAAATATGAAGATTAAGATTTTAGTAATTATTAGAAAATGAAGAATTCTGAAACTTTTGTACAAAAAAAATCATCATGAAGTGAAAAATAAATAAGAACAAAGAGTTTAAAATAAACTTTTAACAGAGAAAATTCTGGATTTATTTAACTTTAAATGCAGTTTAGTGTAACTTTGATTTAAAGGTCAAACATCCAAACAGAGGAAGACTCACCTGATCCACAGACGACGAAGATGAAGAGGGCGAGCAGCCACGGACCGACTCCTTTGTCTTCAGTCATGTTCCTCTGAAACACCAATAATCACATTAATTGATCACAATCATTGATCACAGATTCACTCTGACTTTTTTTTGTTGTTATTTGATTTATTGGTTTAATTTCCTTTGAATTTGTGTGAAACCTGATTTAATGTTGAATATTTTTGTCGGCCTGTAAAACTCTGAGCTGCACAAAAGTGATCACGTATCAATAAAGTCTGATCGATCGAAGCGTTCTGTCGTTCCTCCTGGAACAGTTTCTGCACATTTGTGTCGGTTAGTGAACGTTATTGATCCGTTTCTGATCAGTTCACTCAGAAATACGTTTATAATTTCCTGCAGTAATGTCTCACAATCTGTTTTCACTTCATGATTATTGATTATTGATTGATGTTCTGTGCTGTTCCTGCTGGATGTTTGTCTTCGTGTCCTGATAAAGTTTCTGTAAATTTCTGGAAAATCATAAATAACTGAATATTTAGATTTTTTTTTTAAACCTGTTTTCACCTCGTCGTTATTGATTATTTATTGTTGATTATTGGGAAAAAAAATGTGACGTTGATCCAGTTACAATTAAATCTGAAAACTTTCTGAATCCACTGATTTAAACTTTCCTGACAATTGATTATTGGTTCATTGATCAGTTAGCTCAGTCTGTGATTTTGTGGGTATTGATGAGGATTCAATCAGACTGAGCTGATCGATCAGTGATTGATCAGTGATCGATCAGTGGGTTCAAATTAAGTTTTACGTTTTGAGTCTTTTGTCAAACATTTGTATAAACGTCTACAGAAGCTGTTTTCACTTATTGATTATTGGAAAAACTTGATGAGTAAATCTGGAAACTTTCTGAGAGTCTCACTTGATATTGATTATTGACTCATTGATCAGTGAACTGAGTCTCTTTTGATGTTTATAAACGTGATGAAACTGACCTGAGTGATCAGAACACCTACCAATCATGTGTATTGATCCAAATGTTAATTCTGATTCAAATGTGCAGCAGCTGATTGATCAGACTGATCAGCTCAAACCTTCTACAGATCGATTAGGACACATTGATCTACACATACAAACATTTTTTCAGTAATTAAACAGAAAGAAAAGATATGAAACCACTTTTTTTCCCCCAGTCTCCCAGTCTGACTCTGAGCTGGTTCTACTGGGACTCTACTGGTTTTTCCGGCTGGTCCAGACTCTCAGAGACTCGCGGCTCTGATGTGGTTTCTGATCAATCATCTGATCACAGAGTTTCAGTCGGTTTTCAATCATCTCCATCGATCAGCAGCAGCTGGACTCACCGTTGATTTGGCCACGTTTCCTCTCTGCGTGATGTTCTTGCTGTGCTTCTCGTTCGCCATGCGGATCCTCTGTTTGGCCACCATCTTGTCTGTTTCTTCTTCCTTCTGCCGTCGGATTTTTATTCGGTTTTGTTTGTTTGTTTGTTGCAGTTTGTTTGTCTCCGCTCGGTTCGCTCCGCTGCCTGTCGGTCTGGGACAAACTCCCGTTTGTCTACGTACTCAAAAAGCCCCAGCACCGCCCCCTTCCTGTCTCTGGCCCCGCCCCCAGAGTCAGCTGACCAGCGCGTCAAGCCGCAGCCCGCCACAACAAGATTTCCTGTATAAGCTTTCAAAATTAAATCCTCTGTTTTATTTTCTTGTGACCATGAGGAGAAACCTTTTGGTAACTCATAAAGATGACAAAAAGTTTACATTTATTTTTCAAGTATCGGAACTTTTATTTGCTGCAAATGTCTTAAGAAAATTTCAAAGGTCAAGTTAAGTCGCTGTTATTTGTGCAGCACATTTAAAACAACAGATGTTAATGGAAATGAGATTAGACATTTATATAACTGACAGCATTGAACGGTCTTAATTTAATAAATTAGTCAGTTAACTTTGTACAATATTCTAAGTTTGTACAAGGGAAACCATTGTAATGCTTAATATCAGTCATATTGAGATGACTTAACTAAATTTGTACAATACTATAAGTTCATATTACAAAAAACATAATTAAGTCTTAATATTTAAGATTGGTCAGATAATTCTTTATTAGATTTTATATGGTAAGATATTAGCCTAAATATCTAAACTTGTTTGGTGAGTTTCTAACATCAGTTTTTTTTTCTCAACTGGAAGCACTTTGGCTCAGTGTCTGTTGTTTAAAACGTGCTCTTTAAATAATGTTCACTTGGTTTGATCCTCTTACCTTTGTACTGCTAAATAAGTCGGATTCTGAATGTAGGACTTTATTTGTACCAGAGTGAAGAACGGGATCTGATTCTTCCATTATTTTGAAAACGGAAGTTCCGTCACTGTTATTTAACATCAGACAACTTGACGTAACTAAAAACTTAACTCTGGTTTCAAAGTTTGTAAAAATACAAGATCATCGTATTTATTGAAACACTTGTTGTTAGATTTAATAAAATAGTTAAATTATGTATTAAAATAATTTATTAAACTGATAACTGCGGTTTTTTAATCGACGTGTTTGATGACACGAGCCGTTGTTTGCTGATGTGGCGCTGAAAATCCCGCCTCTCTGCGTCGTGACGCACGTCCGGGAAGCGTCTTTCTTCTTCCGGCACACGCAAACATGGCGCCGGCGGTCCCCCTGTTAGCAGGTGAGTGATTTCACTTTTTATTAAACTCTTTTAACGTCGTGTTTTTAGTTATTTATAGCGACATGTCCCCGATAAACTCTGCAAACCCGCCGGAAGTGAAATAACTGCAGTTCAACTGCCAGAGACTGTTATTAAAGGTAGAATAAATCATCCACCAAACTCCATGAAAACTCTGACTAATTTCTAGCTCACATGATTCTGGAAAAAAATATAAACGCAGTAAATTAAAACTGTAGATTTTATTACCATCAGCAGAGTCTTTAGATTGATTCGGCACAAATAGAACCAACATGTTTTCATGCTTTCAGACAAATAATCTTCTTAAACTTGAACTCTCTGTCTCACATCAGCTCCCATCACAGGACTGTCAAAATCAGTGATGCTCCGGTTATATAGGATTAAAACTCACCTCTGTGACGGCTGTTTGAGACACTGTATGTGAGCCGGAGTGTAAAGTAAGACTGTCCGCTTCAAACGGTGCCTTCGGTATGTTTTCATGTGACGGTTTCTGCAGCCGTCAAACACGGATTGGTTAAATTAATCGATTTCTTAAAGGAGTTCTTGCAAGTCAGACAACTCTCATCACCTCCTACGGAACAGTTCAGGCCGGACAGTGAGAAACGACACGTGAAGAAAATTAAGAAATAAGTCATTTTCAAGATTCTTTCGAAAGAATTAACGAACGACTTTTACGATTTATTTATCTGCTGAATGAGAGTTGAAAGTTACTGGACTTAATGAAAAAATTAAAATATATTGAAAATAAATCAAAATCTTTAAAACATTCAAAAAAGCTGTAAAATTTAATAGCAATATAATAATAAAGATGTCAGATGAATGAATGAAATGTGCTAATGAGTAACGTCCAGAGTGTGTTTAAAATGTCATTACTATAAGTAGAGAATAAAACATGAAAAAGTGAAATAAAATTCCTCAAAAATATCAAAAAATAGTAAAAAAGTAAAATATTGAATTGAATTAAAAGAATTTTCATAACATTTCTGGGGAAAAAAATCTAAATCTAAAATGATATAATATAGCATGAAGAATATTAATTAAATAAATCGTTTTAATTACTAAACGTATGATAAATAACACGTCCTGAGGGTTGAGAATATTTTCCTTCTGTCGTGTTTGTGCTGCAGTTCGAGGCTCGGCCGGCACGTCTCTGCTCCGTGGACCTCCACAGTGTGAGCAGCACTCAGCCTTCAGCAGGTAACCACACCTGGACCAGCACCGCACACACACCTGTGTAAATAAACAAACAAACAAACAAACCCACCGTGTGTGTTTGTGTCTCAGTGACTGTGGAGTCTGCAGATGTGTGACCTTCAGCAAAGACGGGACGCTGTTGGCGTGGAGCAACAAAAACGGGTTCGTCTCTGATCTGTTTGTTCATAAATCACCTGAGAGAGGCTCACCTGTGGTCACACCTGACTCACCGTCTGTCTGTCTGTCTGTCTGTCTCTGTGAACGTCAGCGTCTCGGTGGTGAAGTCCTCCGACGGCTCCTCGGTGTCGACCTTCGACCTCCCAAAAACAGCCCTGATGGAGATCTCTCCTCTGAACAACGTCCTGGTTACCTGGCAACCGTACACCAGTAAGTGATGACACGTCGTAAACACGAGACGAAATGTTTAAAGAATGCCCGACAGAATAGAATAATAATAATATAATGTAATAAATATATTAAAATATGTATTTTAAATTATCCCAAAGTGTGTTATGATAAGACAAATGTCACTAAATAGAGAATAAAATATAAAAAAAATAACATAAGACACTGATTTAAAGGCAATTATGGAACGTTTTGACAAAAGTCATAAAACATTTTCAGAAAAGTTTCACTAAACATTTAGCTGTAGTAAACATAAAATACCAAAAAACTATTTTTATTAACGTCTGCAAAACGTTACTCGATATAAACGTTAATATTCTAAAAAATTAAATATCAAACAATCTGTGGAAATAATAATGAAACATCTGAACATGTTTCTAAAATATAAAATATCAAAAGTGTCATTAATGAATCAGGTGTTTTAATAAAAGTCTAAAAAATACGACTCAACAGAGAATTAAAACGTAAAAATAAAAATTAATTTTAGATTAATCTGTTATGTTTTATGTTATATTAAAATGACATAAAATATAAAACCCTCTGATGAAAGAATAAATGAAGTAAAAATGGCTGAAGTTGTCTTATAAAGAAAATAATTTTAAAAAATACAATTCCTGAAAAGCATCTGAAGTAGTAATAATATTAAAAAATCCTCAAACAATAAGACTTCTAGCTTCTTTCTTTTTTTTTTTAGAAAAATATAATTATACCATTAAAGTGTAAAACATGCAAAAGTTTCAATAAAGTATAAAAAAATGCGTTTTAGTCGTGTTTAAGCGGTTTTTAATGTTTATTTAAAAATTACAAAAATATTAAATATCCTAAAAAAACAATGAATTAAAAAAATATTTAGCATAAAATATAATAAATGTAATGCAGCAACTATAATAGAAAAAAAATGTGTGATGTAGGAAAAAAGTATTAAAACAAAAATCAGAAAAGTGAATTCTGATATGAAAATAAATGAATCCACCAAAACATCGATGAAATGTTTGATAAATAAAATCTGAGTTTAGACGGACTGAGATCAGCTGGATCCAAACCAGAAGATTAAACAAACAGAAAACAGAGCTGAGGCGTTTGTAAACACGTAAAGGTTTTCTGATTATTGATTATTGATTATTGATCTGGTGCAGAGACTCAGGACAGTCCTCAGGGCGAAGCCAACCTGCAGCTGTTTGACCTGCAGAGCGGCCAACTCATCAAAGCTCTGTATCAGAAGAAGGTCGACTCCTGGTCAGTCTGAGCTCCTCCTGCAGCCGCCCATCGATCGATCGATTGATTGATTGATTGATCGATTAGAGTGTCTAATGTGTGACTGTGTTCAGGTGTCCCAGCTGGTCTGAAGACGAGAAGATCTGTGCGAGGATCGTCAACAACGAGCTGCACTTCTACGAGAACAACGACTTCAGTGAGTCGGCAGAAAGCAGTTTGTGCTGAGTCACAGTTGGTCCTGTTCGAGTCCGATCGGTTTAATCTCCGCTCTGGTGTCGTCTCTCGTTTCAGACTCCATCGCCAACAAGCTGCACATGCAGAAAGTGTCCGACTTCGCTCTGTCGCCTGGAGGTCAGCCGAGCAAGGTGAGCAGCACGGGGGGCTGGGAGGGGTCCGGAATGAGTCAGGACCGGTTCTGAGTCACTAACAATCCCTATGAAAGACTTACATCTGTCCAAAAGGTCTTAAAAATGATTAAAGAGAACTCAGAGTTTCTCCACATGACTGAAGGGTTTTATGCAAATGTGTCTAAAACGACTCATTTAGTTTTGTTCTAAATGACTTAAAAAATGTTAAAAATGACTAAAACCAGATTAAAATGACACATTTGTCTAAAACAATCATCTAAAGTGTTTTAAAATTGTTCAAAGTCACTTCACAAATTGTTCAAATTGACTGAAAGTTTTCCAAAATGATTCAAATTGATCTAAAATGGATCAGAACGTTTGCTCAGAGTGACCAAAGCATGGTCCAAAATGAGTCAGAATCGGTTCTGAATGACTTCCACAATTGTCAAATGACTCAGATCTGTCTAAAATATCTAGAAACTGTTAAAACAAACTCGAACCGTGTCCTAAATGACGGAAGTGTATTCAAAAATGACTTAAATTTGTCCAAAATTACTAAAAAATGTTCTAAAATGACCCAGAAATCTTTGAAAAATGATTAAAAGTTTCCACAGATGGTATATATTATTACATATTTCTCTAAAATGGCTCATAATTGGTTTTAAATGACTCACAAATTATTCAAAGTAACTTAGAAAATATCTAAAATGGCAAAAAACAGCTAAACATGTCTTGAATTTGTCCCAAATTACTTTACAAATCTCTAAAACTGAGCCATAAATGGTTAAAAATGACTTAAAATATGTCTGAAATGACTAAAATATTTCAAGACGTCTGAGTTTATGACCAGAGCTAACTGGGATGTTACTGGACCGTCTCCAGGTGGCCGTCTACGTCCCCGGCACCAAAGGCGCTCCGTCCTTCGTCCGTCTCTACCAGTACCCGGTCCTCGGAGGTCCGACTGCTGCTCTGGCCAACAAGAGCTTCTTCAAGGCCGACAAGGCGACGATGCAGTGGAACAAGAAAGGTGAGGCCACCTGGAGGAGAGGGTCGGTCCTCAGTGATCAAACGTGACAGCAGTTTTTCAAAATAAAAGACTTTTGCTTTGTACCTGTTTTCCCTAAATGGAGGTTAGTGTTTCCCCTTCATCCTCCTGTCATAATCAATAACCAATAATCAATAACGATGATGCCGTGTGTCTGCAGCGTCGGCGGTTCTGGTGACGGCCAGCACCGAGGTGGACAAAACCGGAGCGTCTTACTACGGCGAGCAGACGCTTCACTATCTGGCCGTGAACGGGGAGACGGCGCTGGTCCAGCTGGGTGAGCATCAGCTCCGTCAGGACGGTTCTGACACTGTCTGTTGTTTATTGATGACATAGTCTGAAGCCCAGAATCAGAACCGGTGGTGTCTTTGGGTCTCCCCAGCCAAGGGCGGTCCGATCTACGACGTGGCCTGGAGCCCGAGCTCCTCCGAGTTCTGCGTGGTGTACGGGTTCATGCCGGCCAAGGCCACCGTCTTCAACCTCAAGTGTGACCCAGTGTTCGACTTCGGAACCGGACCCAGAAACGCTGCCTACTACAGGTGAGGACGACCCGGTTCTGGACTCGTTAAAGGATCGTTTCCGTTTCCTGATAACGTGTCGGTTGAGTTTCAGGTTAGATTGTTTTTTTTGTTTCGGTCCAACTCAGTAGAAGCTCAGAACTTCTCCTGGATCAGATCCAGAAGCTCCGACCCGATCGCCGATGAGCTTCAAGGCATTTTGGACACGTTTGGTTTGTTCTGGATCAATTTTGAGATGTTTTTTTGTTTAACAAACTTGAAACCATTTTGGACTCGGTTTTGTCGTTTCTAATAAAACATCAGTTGTTTTCTGACAGATTTTCAGTCATTTTGCTGAAGTTAATCACATTTTTCTCCAATTTTTGAAGCTTTTTTGTCTCTTTTTTTCAACAAATTCTGTCATTTTTTAGACGTTTTGGACACATTTTATACATTTTGGACCAATTTTGTGCCATTTTGACAGATTTTGAGATGTTTTGGTCAAATTAAACTTTTTTTGACTAATTTTGGTTCTTGTTCCATATTTGGATGTTTTTTTGTTTGTTTTTTGTCATTTTGACCAAATTGTGTCATTTCGAGGCAACTTGCACAAGTTTCTTATAATTTTGTCTCTTTCTGGGTCAATTTTGATCTGTTTTTTGATCCGTCCCATAATTGTTGAATCCTGTATTACAATTTTTTAACATGTTTTAGTATTTTGGACGAGTTGTGCCGGACAAGTTTTTGTCATTTTTAATACATTTTGAGTGAAGTTGCACAAGTTTTTAAGCGTATTGAGTCTTTTTCGGGTTCATTTTGTAGAAACTTTGAGTATTTTTGACAATTTTTTCATCATTTTCTACATTTTGACCAAGTTAAGGTCTCTTTAAGTGTTTTTCTAGAACAAGTTTTTGTCTTTTGATAACATTTTTAAATCTTTTGGACAAATTCTGAGTCTGTTTCTGTCTTTGAAGGCTGCAGGAAGCTTTCAGAGCTGGTTTAAATGGACTGGTTCTGGTTTCCTTGAATCTCTACAACGCAGATGTTTATGTTTAACCTGAACCTCAGAGACGTGACAGACGTCAGAATGATCCTTTAAGGAGTCCAGAACACCAACGTTTATAAAAGCAGGCATCTAGCAGCTTCAGGTGAATCCATCGTCTGAGCTTAACTTGGTTCTGTTCAGTCCTCAGGGTCACATCCTGGTTCTGGCCGGGTTCGGGAACCTTCGGGGTCAGATGGAGGTTTGGGACGTGAAGAAATACAAACAGGTGAAGACGAACGAGAATCCTGAGCAGCTGCTTCACGTTTCTGTGTTTGAACAACGTTTTAGAGAAGCTGTGAGTTCTACGAGCCACTCAGCTGATCCAAACAGAACCTCATCAGTGTCCTCGTCTCCTCTCAGGTGTCCAAACCTCTGGCTCCGGACGCCACCCACTTCTCCTGGTGTCCGGACGGCGAGCATGTCGTCACGGCGACCTGCGCCCCCCGGCTGCGGGTCGGTAACGGTTACAAGATCTGGCACTACACCGGCTCGGTGCTGCACACGTTCGAGGTGGCATCGGGCTCCGAGCTGTACGAGGTTCGCTGGCAGCCGTTTCCCGACGGCAGCTTCCCGGTAAAACCCATCCGGTACCAGGCGGCGCCCAGCGAGCTCGGAACCACGCAGGCCCCGCCCACTCAGGCGTACCGGCCCCCGGCCCTGAGACACCTGCCGGCCACGGCCAGCTCCAAGCTGGTGAGACTCCA